AGAAAAGCTTTTCCACCTTTCGGATTCCCTGAAACATTTCCAGGTAAACCTCTCGCAGGCTAAACTTCCTGGCCTGGACGAGGTGTGGAAAAAGTGAGGCCCTCCCAACCCTCGTGAAAAACAATAGGGGTTAAGAATTCCAACTTCCTGTGAGTCACTGCAAAAAGCGTTGACATCACCGGACAGCCACACCCACCGTTTTGCAAAAGGCTCCCTGCCAACAGAGGAGACCAGAGATGCAGCAAGGAGGAAAAGCAAAAGGAGGTGGGGGGGGGCGGTGGCCTGGGAGGCAATAGCCGGACACCCTGTTCCCCATTCCTTCCCGTGTTCCAGGCAGGAAGGTGGAAGCAGGGCGAGTGATTGGGGCAGGGGGCGGAAGAGAAGTCCCACCACTGCCCCACACGCCCAGAGACACTTTGCAAAGCAAACAGCCAGGAATGCGGGGCTTTCCGAGTTTACTGGTATCTTATTTTAAGAATCTGCAAAGCACTGCATATAAAAATTACCTTGCGGTGAACACAGGGGCATATATGAAAATAAATAAGATTAATAATGGAATTGTAGAGCTGGAAGGTGTGACGAAGCAGGGGTGCTCCAGAAAGCCTCTCCCAGCCTCTCGGATGCCCAACTGTGACACAGCAGCCTGGTGTCGATGTCACCCACCCTTTCACTCCTGAAATCCCAGAGAGAAGGGAAGCTGGGATGCGCTAAAGCAATTACTTATTTAAAAGGTTCTGAGCCGGTGACCCAGGACTCCTGAGTCCAAACTGCACCCTTGCGGTTTCCTCAGAGTGTAGTGGAAGTCCAGACTCCCTCCCAGACCCACAGAAGAGTGCGCTGGTCTGCTTACAATGCCAATCCAAAACTCCCAGTAGCTTGAAGGCCAGGTGTCTGGGCACATGGGGATTCAGAAACCTGGAGGCTGCCAACCACACACAGTTCAGTGGTCAAATTAAGAAACTTAAATAGGAAACAAAGGTATCGGGAAAGCAGGCAGAACCTTGAAACAGAATACAAAACAAACCAGAGCACCAAAGCTCCAAGTTGAACTAATCCTATACACTCGTTCACGTTTACTCCCAAAGCATCATCAAAGGCTGTTCAGCTTCACAGATGATCCTGTCTTGGAAATCCAGTGCTGGAAAGGGAACTGGATCCCCACCCCTGACACTGGGAACAAGGTGCAATAAATTGGGGGGGGGTGTCTTTTGCTCCAGCAGGTATAATAGTGACAGAGGTTGACAAAATCAATCCTGTCTCCCTGGCTTCTGAAATGCCACTAGCATTTCCTGCACACATCTATCCAACTGAGATAGCCAGGCTACTTTTTCTGCAGCATTCTGCCTGCGTACCTGAAGGGCTGTAAGATACTTCATCTTAAGGCTGCTGCTAAGCACAAAAGCTTACGATCAGCAAAACATACAACAGTTCCTCTTCCTGCCGGCGGCTCACCATCTATTAGACAAGCTATAAAAGGAAAAACGAATGAGGAGGGCAGAGGAGAGGAGAGCGAACACGGAAGCATCTCTAAGCTCACCGGCCAACGCCTAGGGCCACATTGGTCTTCCTCTTGCCGCAGCGATCTTTCTGCGAGGCAGGGGCTGCAGCCTCCCATAGGGGACTTTGTCACCTTGCCGGTGGCAGAGATCAGGACACAAGATACCCTGAAGCACAACAGCCCATCCACTGCCACATCCTTGTCTCCCTATGCCTGTGGAACGTGACGGAGGGGATCGACACACACTTGTTTTGCCCTCCGGGGCTCAGCAGAACGGCTCCTGAGCACCCTCTGGGAGGCCCCTGCCAGACCAGCACCAGAAGGGAATCCAGCTCCCAGCAGAGCTCAGACTGGCTTGGCCACATCTCTCTGTGAGAGAGGGCAAAGGGCACAGAAGGCACGCATAGAGGTCTGGCTCCGCAAGGGCAGGAGTTGGCTGAGACTGCTTGATTCTGAGCAAACTAAGCCTCCCAAGAGTTAGACCATTATACATTTTTTCTTTTTGCAGGCAACAACAATACGTGAAGAAAACACACCCACACCCCCCAAAAAAGTTGGGAAGCCACTGAAGAGATATTCATACAGTACAGGTCAGTACAGTTAATACAACCAATTTAAATAGATATTAAATCAGAGTCCATTATTTCTTCTTACAGGTCATGTAAGTTGTTAGTTGATGCGTAAGACACAAAGGTCCACCAAACTTTATAAAAGCGTTTTATAGGTTCTTCATGAGCACATGAAGTTTGCGAGCTAGTTTCTCGGTGACTGCGAGATTCCATATATTAAAGGATAGTTTAAAAAAATAATAATGTGTATGAGCGCTCATTTGCTAAACCAAAGCTCATTGACCACCACATCCTGGTTTCTTGCTTGTGGGGTCAAGTGGAGCCTTATCGCTCATCTGCAGCACTTCCTGATAGCACGGCAAGGAGAAAAGTCAAATTTCCAAGCCTGCAATAAGACACATGTTTCACTTCTGTCCCACTCGGGCACCAGGACAGCAAAGGGCCCCTCCATCTCCCTATAACCTCTCCTCTGGGGCAAGGCCTGGTTCCCTTCCCTTCTCCCAACCCCAAAAGCAGCAGAGGTGCTAGGCCCCCCACCTGGAAAGCACAGCCATAGCACAGCCAGGAGATGATGGAAGCCAAACTGGGGTGTGTCTCAAGACGTAGTAGGACAGGCAGAGGGAAGATGGCCCCCGAGACAGGAGCCTGGGAAGAAGGCAGCTATTTTTAGCTGCCATCCATCTGCTTGGCAGGAGCAGAGTTTCGCTATCAGCGCAGCACGAGACGCCGTCTCCGCTTGCCCCAGGGCCAAGGAGAGGGGGGCAGCGACACTCCCCAGGCATCAGGAATGCTGCTCCTTCCTGGCGAGTTATGTACACCACCTAGAACACCCTTCTCGTGCCAGCCACATATTTTCAAGCTACGCCTGGAAACTTCAGCAAGGGGAATGGGGGGGGGGGAGTTTCCTCCAAGGAGGCCTGAACTTGGCCAGGAGACACAGGCTATAGGCCAAAGGCAGGGGGGAGGAGGGGGGAGGCTCTTCTCTGCCCCTCCCAAGGACAGAACATTTCACTTAAGAAGCCACAACACGCTGGGCGTACATTCAACCTCCCAGATTATGTACCCCATCGAAGCAACCCTCCTAATTTTAAACCCACTGCCTACAACCAAGGGTTAGAAAACCCACCGCCCCCAACTGGGGAGGTGGTCAGGCTTTTAAAAAACTATCCTCTGTTCCTGAACATTTGTTTTATTGGAACAGCCCCAGATTTTCCTTTCCGGGCAAGGAGCTTGGGTGGGAAAGAAGACAACATAGCTCCAGGCATCGAGAGCCACATCAAATTGAGCTTTCTGACCCAGATTCTGTTACCATTATAAAAATCTATGAGACAATCCTACTTTTTAAAGGCAGGATTAAAACATCCCGCTCACTCAAGGAGGCTGCAGCAAATTAGAAGCCAAGGGCCTGGCAGAAAAGAAACGTTTTTGCCTGAAGCTATGTAAGGTTGGGGATGCGGGTGGCACTGTGGGTTAAACCACAGAGCCTAGAACTTGCTGGTCAGAAGGTTGGCGGTTCGAATCCCCGCAACGGGGTGAGCTCCCATTGCTCAGTCCCAGCTCCTGCCAACCTAGCAGTTCGAAAGCAAGTCAAAGTGCAAGTAGATAAATAGGTACCGCTCCAGCAGGAAGGTAAACTGCGTTTCCGTGCGCTGCTCTGGTTCGCCAGAAGCAGCTTAGTCATGCTGGCCACATGACCCGGAAGCTGTACGCCGGCTCCCTCGGCCAATAAAGCGAGATGAGCGCCGCAACCCTAGAGTCGGCCACGACTGGACCTAATGGTCAGGGGTCCCTTTACCTTTATGTAAGGTTGGTGCCAGGCAAGCTTCCCCCAGGAGAGCATTCTACGAGGAGGGAGCCATCACTGGGAAGGCCCTGTTCTCATGTTGATACCCTCCGGACCTCCCATGTTACACTGATGGAGGAACATCACTGGGAGCGTAGCTGCTTTCAATACTTTTGAGGAGGCTATCCTTCTGGACAGGGCTGGGAATTGGGAAACGGTGCCCCTGTAGGTCATGCTCCTCCTATTCAGCAAATTGGTTCCAGCATTTGCACCATGGTGTTCCACAGCAGCCACCCAGGAAGACCTACATGAAGCCGCTGAGTGAGTTAGCCCAAGGATCTGGTGCAAAGTGCCCTTGGTATACCAGCACTGCTCAGCTCTCTTCTGTCCAGGTCTTGGGACTTGCTGAACAAGCACCTGTAGCAGGTTGGACGGGTTCTAATATTCTGAAGCTCACTCAGGTAAGATGGTGGGACTTTTGCTATGAGGTCTGTCTGACCAAGAAGATGGGACCACACTCATAGAAACATAAGAAGGTAAAGGTACCCCTGCCCGTACAGGCCAGTCTTGACAGACTCTAGGGTTGTGTGCCCATCTCACTCTAGAGGCCGGGGGCCAGCGCTGTCCGGAGACACTTCCGGGTCACGTGGCCAGTGTGACAAAGCTGCTCTGGCGAGCCAGAGCCGCACACGGAACGCCGTTTACCTTCCCGCTAGTAAGCGGTCCCTATTTATCTACTTGCACCCAGGGGTGCTTTCGAACTGCTAGGTTGGCAGGCGCTGGGACCGAGCAGCGGGAGCGCACCCCGCCGCGGGGATTCAAACCGCCGACCTTTCGATCGGCAAGCCCTAGGCGCTGAGGCTTTTACCCACAGCGCCACCTGCGTCCCTTATAGAAACATAAGAAGAGCCCTGCAAAAACCGCAGCAAAGAAACATCAAGTTCTTGCACACACAGGCCCCCAAGGACTCGGCTATACAGCTGCAAATATAACGTTCAAAGTGTGTTTTAAGTGCATTACCAAATGTGACCCTAGGTGGCGATGGTGAGCTAATGGGAAATTCAATATATATTTTAAAACTTTTTTTAAAAAAGCAATTTCACAGTGTGTGTGTTTTAAAATATATGTCTAGATTCAGCCCAAGTGTTACCTCTGCTTATCCGCTGCTTCTCTCCAGACAGGATTCCAGGGGTGTCAATTATGCTGATGCTGTCCAGGACTGGGTTGGGCAGCTGGGCACACATGAACCTACGAGGGAGGGAGGAGAGGACCGTTAAGCCATTTGTCTCAGCCAAAAAAGCAAGCATAGGGAGGCAGACGTGGCTCCCTGCCGGTCCCCCTCGCCACACTTTTTGGGCAACAGAGCTAGCCGCTTCATAGAGTTGAGCCACGTTTCAAAGTGGGGCCTCCCACCCTCCAGCACCCACCTTCGTGTGGCACCACCCACAAAGAAAAGGGTGCCACGAGAATGAGTGGAAGATAACTCGAGAAACAATTCACCCCCTCCACTTGCCGGGCTCCCTTGAACTTGTTTGCAGATTCGGATCAAGACCACAACAACAGGGAACTGATGTTGAACCTTCTGACGGTGGCCCAGGGCATAATCACCAAGTTTTGGAAGCCCTTCAACCTCAATAATCTAGACAATTATTGGTATTTCAAGACTTGGCAAATCGCCCTTCTTGGGGGGCAGGGGGTGGGACTCACATGAGCTAAAATTGTCCCGGGGCCAAAGTGCTTTGCCATTTTTTCTCATTTGTTTCATCCACAAACACAGTGGCTCAGGCAAGTCAGGTCCCACAGGTCTAGGTGTCTGGATTTAGTACATCTCAAGGTTACGTTCTAATCTTATTTTAAGTATGAACTTGCCACTGTTTTGATTTAGACCATCAAACCCTTTGAAACCACAGACCACACACCTTTCCCCTCTGGTTAGGTTTTATTTCTGATTCAATAAATAGTGTGGCTGCAACTTGTGTATTTCCTTACTGGCAACTGAGACAACTTTTCATTTTATTTCATTGATTTTTTGCAAACATAACGAAGAATCAAGAGATTTTAATCTTAAAGCGTCAAAGCCTGGAAGGACAAAAGCCCAAAGATACAAAACAGCTCCAAGGTGATAATAAAGCATTAACTCATACAAATATTCCCTTTACACATAATAAAGATTCATTAAAAATAAAAGTGTTCCCCCCACCATGAGTTTCATTCATTAATGAGAATAAAGGTTCTACATAATCTTAAATGAGCCAGACACTTGCAAATACTGATGGCATTATATATTTAAAAAATACATAGAAGGAGAGGATGTCACTGTTTCATGGAGAGTTGATCCACTTGGACCCTTAACTTTCAACGGTGATGTTGGGGTGTCAATGAAGGATGCAGGCGACTGCCTTAGGCCTAGCCTGAGACCATCTACCGGGACCATCGACAGCAGCTCTCAGGAAGAGAGTCTTCTCCATTCTTCTTACCAATGACTAGAGAGATGGTGGGATTTGAAGCTGGGACCTTTCTGCATGCAGAGCGGGCACCCTCACAGCAAAGGCCCTTCCCCAAGCTTCCCGGACCCTATGTGAGACACGGGATTTGCACCCCAGAATTGTGCTGAGGTTGTCAAGAGCTAGACGTTCTGCTTTTCAAAAATGCTTCCTCTCGATTTCACAAGGAGGAAGGCATGACAACAGGACACAACAGGAAGATTTGGGCAGGGTAGGAGTTGCGGCATTCGACGGGGCTCAGGTGGACAAGTTCCTTTCGCCCAGGGATGGGGAACTCGAAGACGACCTAAAAGATATTGTGCAACTGCAAACCATCTTCCTAGACATGTTGTTCATGATGGCTGCTGTGGCTGATGGGTGCTAGGAAATCTAACAACATCAGGGGAAGGCGGTCAGGTTCCTCCCCTCCCCTTGAGCTAGAGACCAGGCCTGTGAGCTGGTTATAAAGTCCAGAACACCACCGCTGCCACCCCCACCAATTTGGTCTCCAGGGTATCTTGTTCCAGCAGCTGACTGAAGGGTATTTATTTTGCCTGGAGACCAAACCCAACGCAGCACCTTTAGACCTGGAAAGAATGTCCCATCTGCACTCCACATTTAAAGCGGTATCAGACCACCTTAAACAACCATGGCTTCTTCCCCCAAAGAATCCTGGGAGCTGTCATTTGTTACGGGTGTGGAGGGTTCCTAGGGGAACCCAATTCTCCCCACAGAGCTATAATTCCCAGAGTTTCATGGAAAGAGGGAAACCACTCTGGGAATTGGTAGCTCCCAATTCTTGGGACGCTGAACAAACTTCAGCTCTCAGGATACTTTGAGGGAAACTGTTTCTGTTTAAAGTGACATGATACTGCTTTAAAAGTACAGTGTGGGTTAGGCCAGAGTCTCAGCCAGCTATCCCAGCTCCTGATACACAACAGTTCTCCTCCCATCAAGGCCATCTTTGACATGGACAGAGACTAAGTGAGCAACGCATCAAGGCACCGAGGCCTGTGCTGTTCTCAGAAGTCAAAAATTAGGTTCATGGGTTTGAGACCCATGTTGGGCGAAAAATCCCTGCACTGCAGAGGGTTGGGCTAGATGACTCACACGGCCTCTTCCAACTCTACAATTCTACGAGGAAGGAAGAGGGTGAACATCCCAGTACTTATCCCGAACTTTCAGTCGCTGCTGACTTTGCCACCAGAGCATTCCCTGCCCTCTGTCTCAAAGCACCTCTCAGGGGCCATAGCTCTTGCATGCAGAAGGCCCCGGGTTCAGTCCTCCCAACGGCATCTGCAGGGAGGGCTGGGAGAGGCTCCCTGCCTGAAACCCTGGCATTGCTGCCAGTCAGTGTGGGCAGCACCAAGATAGTTGGACTCGGAAGAAAGCAGCTTCCCATGTCCTTCACCAAGAGAGATGGGGCCGCTTCCCCTCTCCCGAAATGCTCAAGACATCCTCGCCTGATCCATCCCCCGCCCTTGCGGAAATAATAATAATAATAATAATAATTTTTTATTTATACCCCGCCCTCCCCGGCCAGAGCCAGGCTCAGGGTGGCTAACACCAGTAAAATTACAATAAAAACATAATGGGTGGGGGACAATTTAAAATACATGTTAAAATACAATTTAAAATGCAGCCTCATTTTAATAATAGTCCATAGATCAAAACCATAAGGGGGGGGGGGACATAAGGGTCAGACTGAGTCCAAACCAAAGGCCAGGCGGAACAGCTCTGTCTTGCAGGCCCTGCGGAAAGATGTCAAGTCCCGCAAAGAATGCTTTCCTGCACAGCCCAGCATGGGAGCGAGAGGCACCTCTGCCTCCTTGGTGCTCAGCACTGCAACTAGAAAAGATGAGCTTTGTAATATTGCAGAGACAGATTTTCAGGGCTGCTGCTCCTGCTGCTTTGGAATTTGCTCCCGCCTTCTCCCCGCAAGCAGCAGGGAAGGCAACAAAGACCAAAGGCCACCTCTTCCTCCCTGCATCAGTCCCTCCTTGCGCAGCCCCGGCTTAACCCACAAAAGGCTGTGCACAAATCCAACTCCTGAACGCACGGCCTGCGCTCCACCTGTACAGAGGTCCTAAGCCAAGGGTACGGGGAGGTCAGCCATCATCAAGGACACTGGCAGGCTGCCTCGGATAATCTTGTAAGGATCCTCTGGAGATAAGGCACCTCCCGTCCTGGGCCCCCCTCTGCTTGGCCAACACGATCCTGCCTCCAGAAGGACTATGGATTCAACCTACACCTATAGCATTTGACTGGGAAGCCTTCTCAGATTACTGGGCGCAGCAGAGGGTGAAAGGAGAAAGGAGTTAGGTATTAAGCCACGAGCAAACCATACATTAGGGACGCGGGTGGCGCTGTGGGTTAAACCACAGAGCCTAGGACTTGCCGATCGGAAGGTTGGCGTTCGAATCCCCGAAACGGGGTGAGCTCCTGTTGTTCAGTCCCAGCTCCTGCCAACCTAGCAGTTCAAAAGCACGTCAAAGTGCAAGTAGATAAATAGGTACCACTCTGGCGGGAAAGTAAATGGCGTTTCCGTGCGCTGCGCTGTACACCGGCTCCCTCGGCCAATAAAGCGAGATGAGCGCCGTAACCCAAGAGTCAGTCACAACTGGACCTAATGGTCAGGGGTCCCTTTACTTTTATCATACATTTAAAGCACCACGATACCACTTTAAGTAACCATGGCTTCTTCCTCCAAAGCAACATGGGAGCTGTTTGTTTGGGATGCTGAGAGTTGTGAGGAGACCCCTCCTTGAGTGGCTTAACAGCCAGTCCATCTTCCCAGGGGTCTGTAACTCTGCAAGGGGAATTGGCGGTGTCCTTCAAAGTCTCCACACCCTTAACAAACAGCAGCTCCCATAATTCCTTGGGGAGGAACCCATGACTTTTTAAAGCGGCACCCTAACTCTTTAAATCAGGGTCTCCCAAACTTGGGCCTCTCCAGCTGTTGTTGGACTACAACTCCCATCAGCCCTAGCTAGCAGGACCAGTGGCCAGGGATGGTGGGAACTGTAGTCCAAAAACAGATGGAGAGCCAAGTTGGGGAAACCCTGCTTTAAATGTATGGGGTGAATGTGGACTTAACAGCCCTCTCCACCACACGATTCCGTGTAGGGCAAGCCAGGCAAAGCCGTCTGTAGATAAAATTCCCCAAAAGAATCCAGCTGGCAGCCAGCCACCCCAACAGCATGACCAAACTTCTCAGGGTGCAAGGAGGACTGGATACAAAATGCTGAGCTGGTCCCACACGAAGATTAGGGATGTAGCTTTTCAAAACAAACAGTTTTCGGAAGGGCCATGCCCCCAGCAGAAGAGCACAAGCTTTGCTCAGGTCCAAGGTTCAATCCCCACATTTCCGGATGGTGCTGGTTGAGACACCTGTTCGGCAAATCCACCACCGCCAGGCAGCACAGCCACTAGCAAGCCAGATGGACCAGCTATCTTGGCTTGTGGCAAGAAAGCATCCTATGCTCAGAGCTAGCTTGCCTCCACTTGAAAGCCACATGCGGAGTCTGCAAAGCGCACCAACCTTGCGCAGGGAGATTTCTGGCTTACCAATCTAAACACTACAGAGGTCAGGCGGGAGTGGAACAAAAGTGTAAACACTGTCAGGGATTTAAAATTAACTAGGAGGCCCAAATTCCTCCTCTGAACTCCCAGACTGTTTTGCTAGCAAGGGAATCTGCCAGAGTTGCAAGCCGACCCTAAGTCTGCCGGAGGTCGCAGGGAGACCCAGCAGGAACTAACAATCCCTCTTTGTGTTGACCCTGCTCTCCTGAAACAGACTTTCGGCAGCATTAACTCGTGACTGGTGAGGAATTCGATCTCAGATGCTTCGGGGCTCAAAAGGGCCCTTAAAGAGACCGCTTGGGGCAGTGTCAGACTTTGCAAACACTTGCTCCAATCTTCCCAGCCCACCCTTCCTGAGCAAAATTCCAGGGCACACTAGAGGGATCGGGGGCTGCAGGAGGACCACTCCCCTTGGAAATCAGGGCAATTCCTGATTGACGCCAAGGTCCAGGGAATGAAAAGTCCATCACCACAAGAGCGTTGTATCAGAGGCAAAAAAACCTAGAAGTTAACGCCACCCCTGCTGTATGGCGGAAAGAATTTAGAACGAAACAAATTTATCAGCAACACAGGAGGTAATTCCTGGATCAGGTAAGCTCGACCACAGTAGCGGTGACTTTAGGACTGGACTGCTGCAATACACTTCATGTGGGGCCTCCTTTGCGCTTGACCCAGAAAGTGTGGTTAGTGCAGAATGCTGCAGCGTGGTTGATGAGTGGAGCAGACCCTGTAAGCATACCTACTCAGAAATGTGCACTAGCTGCTGGTTTGTTAGTGGACTAAACTCAAAGGGTTATTCTTTGTATACAAGGCTCTCTCAACAGCGTGGGACAAGCTTACTTAAAAGATCACCTTGCCCCACACATGCATCCCCTCGACTGCAGAACTGGGACTTTTACAAATGCTTTTGTTCCATGGATGCAAGGAATTTGATCCTTCAGGGCGACTGCGTCTAAATTTTAGAACTCCCCATCCACTGACATTAGACAGGCATCTTTGCTGTATTTTTGGTGCCTGCTAAGAACCTGGCAATTAGATAAATAGATACTGCTCCGGCGGGAAGGTAAACGGCATTTCCGTGCGCTGCTCTGGTTCGCCAGAAGCGGCTTAGTCATGCTGGCCACATGACCCGGAAGCTGTACGCCGGCTCCCTCAGGCCAATAAAGCGAGATGAGCGCCGCAACCCCAGAGTCGGTTACGACTGGACCTGATGGTCAGGGGTCCCTTTACCTTTAAGAACCTGGATTAGGCAGACCTATCCAGACATGTACATTTGACACACATTTTAATACAGTGGACCTTCTGGATACAAATTAAATCCGTTCTGGGGGTCTGTACTTAACCTGAAAAGTCCATTACTGGAGGCGCTGCTTCTGCGCACGGTGTACAGAGCACTTCTGCGCATGCATGCGCGGCAAAACCTGGCAGTATACACTTCCGGGTTTGCCACGTTCGCAACCTGAAAGTTATGTATCCAGAGCGGTACGTAACTCGAGGGTCCACTGCATGTAACTGCATCCAATTATGTATATGCATATTTTGAAAACGTTTAGGTCAGCTTGTTTTTAACTTCTGGCTTCACCGGTATTTGTTACCAGATTTTAGACTTTACGTAAATTGATTGGAAGTTTTGATGATTAAGCAGTATACAAATCCAGTTAAATGAATAAAAATAAAAACCAAACTAGTGGGATCTGCAACAAACTTTTGTAGCGTGGACAGGGGGGTCCTCTTCTTCAGGGCTGCAGCCAGCCACAGGCTCCACCCCTTCCTCCCTTGTTTTCTCCCCCAAATCAGGATTCCATGGAAAAGACCAGCCCTCACTTCTGAACATCACTTAAGAGCAAGAAGAACAGATGCTATAAATAAAAGATGCTCCAGAATGCCAGCCCACAAGTCTAACCTTGCCAGCCCCACTTCTAAGAGCTCTGTGATGCCTCAGCAGGACAGGAGCTTGGGGGGGGGGAGAGGAAAAGTACTGGCCTAAGCCCCCACCTGACAAAACAGATCCTGGGGTGCCTGCATTTTGCCACTGACTGAATGCACACACAGCTATCAAATGAAAGGCTTTTACTTGGCCATTTTTGTAGTTTTGTTCCTTTGGAAAAGGCTTGAAAAGCCCCTCTGCTCTGGGAGGGGGGTGGGGCCTGAGCTACACTGCTAGGCCTCAATAACTCTTCCCCCTCCAGTCTGGGAACTGGCTGGGCGTGCGAGCCAAAGAGGGGATTTCTGCTGCTCTTTAAATCTGCCTGCCAAAGACAGATGGGAGAGGGCGGAAGGAAGGGACAGCGCCCTAAAAGCCCAGGCTGGCAGCAGGGCTGGCTGACTGGGCACAGCCAGGGCACCAAGTCAGGCTGGAAAAGAAAGTGGAATTGGGCGGGTTGCACTTTTGGATCTACCAGCTGCAGGATGCAGAGCTCCAAAAAGTGAGCAGCAGGATCCACATCCACTACTTGGGCGTAAGCCAGGGAGAGAAAAGAAGGCAGAGCAAGATAATTGACAGTAGATCCACCCAACGGATTGAAAGCACAGCCAGAGGACATTCTTAACACAAGTGACTCTCCCCCCAAAGAATCCTGGGAACTGTAGTTTGTTATAAGTGTGTTTGTGAACTTTATCTCTGTGAGAAGGAAACTACAGCTCCCAAGATTCCCTGGTGTGCTCTAAATGTATGGTGTGGACCTATTCAGAGGAGGCTGCACTGCAACACTCTCCCCACCACAAAATAAGTTTCCTTGCTCATCTTCCTTTAGGGAAATTTTAATTTCCCGCTTGCATTTGATATGGTACAGCACCCCACCTCTTCCCAAAGTTGTTCAAGGTAAAACATTACCTCAAATTAACAACCACCCTGCAGGGCTGATTAGGATGAAAAACAGGTGACTTGCCCAAGGTTTCCCAGCCCAATCTCCAGGGATCAACTGGATTCCAGTGCCGGCAATGGGGTAATGCCACCCCGATGTCACCAGGCGGCAGAAGGTTAATGAGACGCACCCAGACAGCTCTGTCCTCCAAAAGAGGAGGGATGCTGCCCACCCCGGTACATCAGCCGCCTAAGGCGGTCACTCCACTCCGCCCAACCTCAGGGCCGGCCGTGCCCCTAGGTAAAGGTAAAGGGACCCCTGACCATTAGCTCATCTCGCTTTATTGGCCGAGGGAGCCGGCGTACAGCTTCCGGGTCATGTGGCCAGCATGACTAAGCCGCTTCTGGCGAACCAGAACAGCACACGGAAACGCCGTTTACCTTCCCGCCCGAGTGGTACCTATTTATCTACTTGCACTTTGACATGCTTTCGAACTGCTATGTTGGCAGGAGCAGGGACTGAGCAATGGGAGCTCACCCCGTCGCGGGGATTCGAGCCACCGACCTTCTGATCGGCGAGTCCTAGGCTCTGTGGCTTAACCCAAAGCGCCACCCGTGTCCCTGGCCCTGCCCCTAGTGAGCGTTATATCATGTCTGAGTGGAGATTTGAACTTGCTTCTTGGATCTTGCTCTCATCTAGGTGGTCCACGTATTTTTTTTGGGGGGGGGTGTGCAAAATAGCAGGTTCATCAATAATCAGCAGCATTCATATGACTGGCAAATACTCAGGTTCATATGCCAGCTCAGCTACAGGGCAACCTCAAGAGGGGAAGTCACTCTCTTCGAGTCTAGCAAAAACACAAAGTGAGTCTACCTTGAGTTTCCTGGTAGCTGCCACCTAGCCCACCCTTTGCTACACTGACCAGCGGTGGCTTTCCCGCGTCTGAAAAGCTGACCCTAGAGATGCCAAGGATAAGACAGTGGACCTTCTGCTTTCAAAGGGTGCATTCTACTACTGAGCTCCTAAAAACAAAGATTCTAGCCCTCATGGGTCGGAATAAAGAGCCGGTTTAAAAGAAAGGAAGCTGCCTTATTGTCTCGTTTGGATAAGCGTCGTGGCGGCTCTGCAAGGTTTACAGATAACGGGTCTTTCTTCAGCCCTACCTGGAGATGCTACTGGGGATTCAAGCCCCTTCCCCTTGGAGGGAACCCGGGACCCGCCCCCCTGCTGCATCCCCGTACCTGTTGAGAAAGGCGTTGCCGAAGGCGTTGAGCTTGCGGAAGGGGCGCCGGGGGTCGACGACCAGCGCGTTGCCCGGGATGACGCCCTCGCTCTCGCCGCCCATGACGGCGATGAAGGAGTCCGTGGTGGGCTCGGGCCCGATGCGCATGCCGGGGAAGTCCTGCTCCAGCAGGTGGCGGATGAAGGTGGTCTTGCCCGTGCTGTACTGGCCCACCAGCAGCACCATGGGCTTGCTCTCCCAGTCGGCGGGCTCCAGCGCCGGCGAGTGGAAGTCGTGGAAGCGGTAGTGCTCCTCCAGCGGCAGCAGCTTGCCGGCGTACAGTTGCTTCAGACCCTCCGAGACGGTGCGGAACAGCTCGGGTTCCTTGCGCCGCCGCGCGTCGCGGCTTACCCAGCTGAACATGGCTGAGCCCAACCCTACTGCGGGCGAAGGGTGGGGGGAAAGGAAGAGAAAAATAAGATTAAAATAAAAATAAAAATGAAGATGGAGCGTTATATGCGGGGCCGGCTCCGGGTTCAAGAGCGGTTTATGCGGCAGGCAAAGTAGCAGCCGACGGCAGCGCAACGCACCGCAGACGCCACGCGCCGCTCGGCGGCTCTCCTTATCAAGCCGCGGCGGCGGCGCCACGCCCCTCCTCACCCCTGATTGGCCGCTCGCCTACGTGCTTGTCCCGCCCTCTTTCCTTTCCCGGCATCCCTGAGAGCCGCAGAAGGCAAAAGTTGAGGCGCGCCTCTTTAACTTTTGAGCGTAGAGGTACGAAAGGGAAAGATGGGCCCATCTCAGCCGGAACCGACACCGCCCACCTTGGGACCTTCGTCCAGGGGTCTCAAATTAACACAACGGAAACAGTAATTTTCGCTCCGCCATTGTAAGACCCTTGCCACCACCAAAGCAAGGTAACGCGGGTGGAGGGAGGAACTCTGCACATGCTCAGAAGCACTCGGGCACCTCTGAATTCAGCCTTAGCAATTAAGAATTGAGGTGAGGGCCTCCTCAAAAATAAAACGAGTGCTCATGAGCATGTGCAGAGCGTACTTCCTTTTTGCAGGCTACTCAATAGCTCCATTGTTTCCCCCTCCTTTTGCACACATATTAATTAATTAAGTAAACTTATTAAGCCAGGTGTTCTCTAACAGCGACTTGCATTAAAAAAAACCATACACATTAATACATTATACCATAGGGAGGGGAGAGGGGAAAAATCATATAAAAGTAACACTTTTTCATACAATACCCCATTATAACATCCATAGGATAAATAAAACAGAATCAGCTCAGTCCATCAAAGGCCTAGGGGGGAAGGTAAGACTTTACCTGCCTTTGAAAAGATGTCAGCAAACCTCACTGGGGGGAGTATTCCTCAGAGGGAGCCAACACTGAAAAGGCCTTTTACTTATATTATGTGGGGACATGGGAACGAGGTCTCCTATCCGCCAAAGCAGAAGGCCGAAGTTGATTCCTAGTTCCCAGCTCCTTGTTTCAACTCTTAGCTTGGTTATCTAAACCCGGATTTGAAACTGCACTTTAGCCACCCAGTAGATAAGCTTAATTAGTAATCTTATTTTCATAACAAGTGGCCAGTGTTGTTTTCTGAACCAAGCACTGTGCATCAATAAACTGAATGGCTTGTTCCAGTCGGTCATAAAGCCGTGGCTTTTATCACTGGTTCCTCTGCTTTGTGAGCTAAAGTGCAAACCCAAACCCAGATTAGATTGCCTAATTAAATCCTACTTTCCAGTTCTTAGAGCGTCTTTGGCAGCCTGAATAAGGAAAGGATGCTTACTACTTTAATATTGCTTTGTTTCTGTGTTTTGCCGTCGGGTGAATAGTATTATATTTTGGGTCTGTAAGAAACAGGAGTGTGGTTGTCAGTGCGTGGTTTATCTGCTGTAAATAAATAGCAAACTGAAACTTAACATGCCCCAGCCTACAGAACTGATAAACTCCAGGTCCTTTTCTGCTTTCCTGTATCATATGCTTCCCTGAGCAAGAAATTGTCCCTCCCAGTTGTTCTCATAGGACCAAAGCATTGCTTTGCTGTAACAAGTTTTAACATAGAGGGAAGGACCACCATAGCATCTGCTTTGCATGCGAAAGGTCCCGGGTTCAAACCCTGCTGGTGTCTCCAGATAACAAAAGGCTCATGTAGCTAGTGCTGGCAATGCATGCCTGTGCTTGAGAGGCACTGGGAGACAGTGTGCTGTAGTGGTTAGAGTGTCAGACTGCGACTCAGCACCCCACTTGGCCACAAAACATACTAGGTGGCCTTGGGCCAGTCGCTGCCTCTCAGCCTGACCTACCTCGCAGGGTTGTTGTGAGGGTTAAATGAAGAGCGGGAGAATCATGTCCGCCACTTTGAGCTCCTGGGAGGAAAGGTTGGATATACTGTACAAATAATATTTATATATGGTTGTGTCCATGTGGTGTAGTGGTTAGAGTCTCAGGTTAGGACCTGGGAGACCAAGGTTACTGGGTGACTTTGGGCCAGTCACTGCCTCTCAACCCTAACCCACCTCAACAGGGTTGTTGTGGGAATTCAATATGGCCTAGGACCTGGGGAGACGAGGGTTCAAATTCCCTTGGCCATGGAGCTCACTGGATGATCTTGGGGACTAGTAACTGCCTCTCAGCCTGACCTACCTCGCAGGGTTGTTGTGAGGGGGAGAATCATGTACGCCTCCTTGACCTTGGAGAAAATTGCATCGGTTGGGTGGGTCAGGGTGAGGCTGGCTGAGAGTTGTAGTTCAGCAAAACTCCTGGAGGGCACCAGGTTGGGGAAGGCCCACTTAGAACAGATGGAGAGCATTCATTTCTTCATTTGCTAGGGATATTTATAACCTGTCCTCCATCTATACCAGACATAGGCAACCTTGGCCCTCCAGATGTTCTGGGACTACAACTCCCATCATCCCTGACCACTGGTCCTGTTAGCTAGGGATGATGGGAGTTGTAGTCCCAAAACATCTGGAGGGCTGAGGTTGCCTATGCCTGATCTATACAGGTGTCAGGGCAGATAACAAAGCATAAAATAAACAAATTGCACCATAAGCAGCTATAAAACAGTCAAATGCAGCAGCTGATAAGCAGAGGCAGCTAAAACCATAGACCAGGCAAAAAATAAATAAAAATAAATCACTGACTTAAATCAGGACTTTGGGGTGCCCTGGGAAGGATAGGCCCTGGGCTATCTGGGTCCCTGATCAGAATTGAGGTTCTGGGACTCAGTAGTACCAAGCTGCGCGTGCCCATTGAGCAAGGAGAATAAGATATAAGGGATCAGCCTCAAGCTGTATGTCTGGAATGTGTAAAGAAATAATAAAGGGCAAGATGCCTTGATGGTGATGTGGGGCATCTCTGGGTTGCGAGTGATAGCCTCACCTGAGCTCCCTTCGTCCATGTCAGCGTCCTTCTGCCTCCGCTCCATTCCCTCTGCATGGCAAACCCGCCTCGGCCTCGGCAGTTTAACAGCCCGGTGGCTCTGGCTGGCCGGAATCCCTCTTTGTGAACTGGCCTCATGCATCGCCCGTGATGTCAGCAGGTTCTGGAATGAATGGTCCGCAGCTGGGGAGGAACCTCTCATTCCTAAGAATTAGACTCTTGCCTCTCCTGGGGAAGACCCCGGGCCAATTTCAAGGGGTTACTATCCGCATATAAAGCCCATCTGCTCCGATTCAGCAGCAAATGTGGGTTTTCTCATTGAAACGAACAAAAAGCGCTCAGGCACAGACCTGGAATGCCCACACCTATACCTAGAAAGTACACAGCAAAGGTAAGCATGAGTGAACCCTAGGTCGTGATCATTTATGAAAAGGAAGAAACTCTGCATGCACTCATTTAGCTACAGTTCCTGCATTGCAGGGGGTTGGGCCCCTTCCAAGCTCTGCATTTCTGTGATTCTATGATTCATGCGCCTTTGTATGTTCCAGCACTGGAAATTGTTTAAGAGCCCTGACCCCGAGAGAGGCCAAACCTTGGACGTGTCTTTATCAGGCTCACCCACGTTCCGGCTCAAGGCTCTTGGCATGCTCCAAACATGACATATCACAGTACTATGTGATTCCCCCACTTCACCCTGCTCAATATTAGTTAGCCAAGTGAAGGGAGACCTTTGGCTCTACTTATCCACTCAACTTTCTCTTTCGCTGCAACACGATCTGTCTGTTGGGTGAGAAAGTGGAAAGGCTTTTGGGTGTGCATGCGGAGATCACAGCTCTTGTGTTTCACATTTCCTGTTTTGCCTCTAGCAGCGAGGAGTCCTGGGCTGGCCCTGATTCCCCCCCCCCCCTTTCAGGTGGTGAGATATATAGCACAGTGTCATGCAATAGCTGAGTTGCAAATAGAACCACCTAATGAAAATTGGCAGAAACATTTGGGACAGGGCCTCACATGGGAGTCCAAAACTCAAGCAGAATGGATGTGAACCTGTCAAGATATATCAGCTGAGTTAAAAATCAAGGTGGGAGTTTCTGTTTGCTTTATAATTCTCCATTTGAAGTTTGAACACCAGCGCAGTCCTCGCAACCTTTTTCCAGGGGTTGGTGTATAAAGAGGCTAAATGCATTGCGATGTGATAGTTGAAACGAGGATTTCTGAAGATCCCCTCCTCCTTCGTGTTCCACTATCCTGACAAATGATGCTCAGCGTGGTTTTGACCAAGGAAAGTTTAGAAGCAAAAGGAGCAGTTTTTAAAGTCAAAAGTTGCAAAGCCACATGATCTGGATCAACAAAAAGTAACAGCAAACAAAACAGAATGTGCCTAGTGGTGAGGAGTGCATAGATATTAAATGTCAGTCACAAGCCAGCCAACTGTGATGTTCTAAGGATAATGAATTCATGGGAAATTGGGTAAAAATGGGGGGGGGGGTTCATCCCAAAAGGGTCTCTTGTAGTGGCACGACAATACAAAACCTCAGCGTCTTCAACAAGCCTGTTTGTGGAATATATAAATATGTGAGTAAAGAATGTTACGGATTTTCTGCTATTTCCTGAACTTCAATTTGGGAATAATCTGCAAGCTCTTGGAAAAAAATGCAAATCTCACCCCACCCAGTTTAGGGTCGCAAAACTTCGCAAAACTTCCGTGGCACCTGGGGGGTGGGGTGGGAGTATCTCCTCTTCTCCGTTCCCCATCCAGGATTTTGATTGGTTTTCCTTTCGCCCCACCCCACCCAACATTTGCTAAGCTGCCCCTGCTCCCTTTCATTCCTCCTCATTCCATCAGCCACGAAATGGAATACGATCATTCCAATCTGCTGTGTCAGGTTTAAAGGCAGTTCTTTAAAAAAAATTAAAAAATCTCCTCCCAAAATCTGAGCCAATGGAGAAAAAAACCTCAAAATGAAAGGACAAGATTTTTCCTCCCAAATAAGGGAGCGAGGCATCCTTCGCAAAGCCTTTCCCTCACAGGCGATGTGGGCCTCATATTTTCCACTGCAAAAGTCCTCCGGAGGGAGGGAAGGTTATAGAGAGCACACCAGAACTCTAGAGCTACGTGTTGAGGGGGAAGGGAATAAAGTGAGCCACAAGGCGTGGAGAGGAGAAGGGCTATTATCCCTCCACAGAATAGAAAAGTTGGGACCCCCAACGGTCATCTAGTCCGACCCCTTGCAGTGCAGGAA